AAAGGATCTAGTTTGAACCCTCAAATTATCTACTAAAAAAAATATAATTTAGGTATTTGGAAAATATTGTGTGTTCAAGTAATCAAGATTTAAAAAATGACTTAATTTAACAAATGTAGAAATCCTTGAGTTAAAGTACAATGTGTTATGTCATTTAACCTTTTCTTCCTCTCCTCCACTCAGCCTCCACCCGTAAGCTGTATGAGAAGAAGCTGCAGAAGCTTTTGGACCAGCCTCCAGCTGAACCTCCTACAGACGTCACAGTTCTCCCCCCCAAGGCAGACAGTAACCAGAATGGCAACACAAATTCTGACCAGTACAGTGACAAGGAAGATGGTGAGCTCTGACCCACACATTCCTCATGATCATTTTAAATTTCACATTACTTACCAAGACAAATAACATGACCCGATTATGTCAGTATATTTTAAAACATGTTTTCTTTTATTTAGTAAAATGATCCAGACAGTTTGGTAAACCTGCTTGCTGCAGCAGGTCCCTGACTAAATGTTGAAAAAACACTGATTACTGTACTGATATTGCAATGTTGTCACTGTTGTTTTTACATTACGTGTGTTTTTCAGAGGAGATTGTTGCCCCTGAACCAGAGCCAGTTCCTGTGGTGGAGAAGCCAGTGAGGAGCAGGGGTAAAACCCCAGTTACCGTCAGAACCAGCAGCAGACGACAAACCAAGGTGAGGCAGTTTTGCCATTCCCACCTTCAAAGGTGGAGGAGTAAATTTTAAGTATGTGTGAACATGTTTTTATATTACACCAATAGGTGGTGGAAGAAATTATTACTGAAGAAACCCCGAAGAAGGTCAGCGAGAGTGTTGTTGAAGATATCCTTGCCAATGAAATAAGCACACCAACAGGCATGAGGTAACAATTGATGACTTTTCTAGCAATCTTTTTTTCCCCCCTTCTTTAGAGACCCGCACACAAATCAAGTTCTGCTAAATATTTGTCTTTTATTATAAACATTGAACATGAAAGAGCATCCTTTATCTTGGAAACTCAAGTTTCATTTAAGAAGGAGGAAAAAAAAAACAAACATAACACTTATTAGCTTATTCCGGGAGCTTTCAATTGCATTTCAAATACTCACCAATGGAAGCAGCGGGGTCACAGGGGCCGTGACCAAAGCTTCTTCAGGGTTGGTTTACGGCATCAGATGTGAAAACTGTGCAAACTTAAACTGCTGTTTAAGTGCAGCTGTTCTCATGAGGGAGAGGGATGGGTGAGCGAAAGCGAGAAAGGGAGGATCAAATCAAATCCAATTTAAATAGGCCTAGTAAGAAAATAATTCAAAATCAATATGTGGCCGTCAGCGTTGATATTGTGGCGGGCCGCCACAAATAAATGAACGTATGGGGAAACACTGAAAAAAAATTTTCCCAATAACATTAAGAAATGTTCAATAAATATTCATTTTTATTAAGATTTGATTTTGTTGAGGAAAAAGTACTAAAAAAGCATTTACCTAATTTTACTTGTGCGTATTTGTTAACAAAGATTTTATCATAATTGTTTTGAATGTTCTACCTCAGATTTATGAAGTGACCCACTGTTTGGCCTCAACTGTTGACCATAACGAAGAGTTTAAACCACAATTAACCATCAAGTTTCTTCAACTTTAGCTCAGGAGCAAAAATCAGCCTTTAAACTCGAAAGAAATAACTATTTGATACTTATCGTGATAATTATCAGTATCGAAAGATATGAAACTATTTATTGTGATAACATTTTTGGCCATATCATCCAGCCCTAGTCACTAGTAATTATTCCATTAGTTACTAGTAACTATTCCTGTTTTACTGGTGACAATTGATTAGATACTAGTATTTAATTTTAAGTTACTAGTAACTGTTCCATGAGTTACTAGTAACATGTAATTGCACATTTTTGCCATTGAAATCTATGGGGCTCCGTGGTTCATCTTTTCATTAGTTACTAGTAACTAAATGAATAATTACTAGTAGCCATTTCCATTTTACTAGTCACTATTATTTAGATAGTAGTGTGTATTTTTTTGTTACTTGTAAGTCTTACTAGTAAGAATTAAAATGTTACTAACAACATGCCATTTTACTAGTCATTAATGAATAACTAGTTACCAAAACAAATGTACTAGCAAAAATGAAAACGCTACTGTTAGTAATGTTAGTTAACTAGTAAATAAAAATTAAGTACTAGTATCTAATCAATTGTTACTAGTAAAACGGGAATAGTTACTAGTAACAACTAAATAAGTACTAGTAGCTTCTAAATATTAACATTTAAGTTTTAAGCAATACATTTTAAAAAGGCCATAGACCTTGAGTTAAAAAAAAGTTTGGTGTTGTTCTAGGCCTTAAAGTTTGATTCTGTTTCCCTAATCAGTGCAACCTGCAGGCGTCCAATCCGAGGGGCGGCTGGTCGGCCACTAAAACCAAGCGAATACTGGCTGGATGAGTCCCGTGTGCATCACGACGTCCACACTGAGACCCGCTCTTACTCTGAGTCTTTCTCCAGAGTCGGCAACACCGCCTCAAGCAAAGCGCCAGCTCGACGAGGAGGCTTCCTGTCTATTTTGCTCAAGCTCCTGCTCCTTGTTGTGGTGGCTGGTTCTCTCTACTATGCCTACCAGAACCTGGACGTCGATCACATCAACACCCTCAAAGGCCTCGTGGACACCGTCGTCGTCCCCCTTGAGGGAGCTGTGAACAACGCAGCCACCTACCTGGGCATCAGCAGCAGCAGTGCTACCGAGAGCCCCGGCAAGTAAAGACCCTCGGCAGTCTCTCGCCGTGCCCACGCCACATCCCTGCCTCAGCACACCACAACTCAAGCAGTAAACTTGGCTCACCTCTTCGTTTTACCTACATGGTTGGACAAAGGACACAGATTTAATTGGAACGATAAACTGTCTCCTCTCCGGACTCCAGCTTTCCTCTCACCACAAGAGGACATAGTAGCTTCTGGATAACGATGTTTTGCGGCAGTCAGAAGAGACTCATTTAAATGTTGATTTTAATCTGTGAATTGTTTGTGTCTGTGTGTATTTAACCCTCGTATGTAGAATCAAGTGCAGAATTGAGAGGCCAGTTTATCCGTGCATGGTTGTAGTTTTTGAAGGTCATACTGTAGTTTCTAACTCTCTGTGCCAGGTGTTTTTCTGACTGTGAAGTGCCTGGACACTGTTAGCACTTAGTGCCCTCCCATTTTCAAGCACAAAGCAGTGCTACTACTAATACCAGAATGTCTACATGTTTCTGTATGACGTTCAAAATTTGCTCTGTAGTTATAGGGTTAGATAGAGTGATTCATTATTTCTATGGTGCTCAGGTCAATTTAGATCAATCTTTTTAATGTGGTTTGTGCTGGGAGGAGACACATGGTGTAATCCGGTCATGTCGCTGCATGAGGAAAATCCGCCCATGTTCAGGATGAGGTATGAAAAGGTTTGTTTTTTTGTTTGTTTTTCTCAGTGGCTGAGCGCTGTTTGAATCATTGTATTTGGGACTCTATGATTATAACTAAAATGATTATTCTTGCCGCTTTGTATTGTAATCATATTTACTGTACTTATGGGATCGTTTATCAACATCTTCATCAATTTACAAACTATTCTAAATGACACTGCTTTTTAGTATTGATTATCTACCATTTATTTGACAATTACTCCTTAAACTGAAATTGCAGTGTTCGATCATAGGTTATTGATTTTTCCAGCGCTGCCAGTGTGCCCATTTGAGTTTACATGCTTTGGGTTTTAGTGCTCTGTTGTGCTTTTATTTTTATGTTTTTGTTTGTTTTTTTTTAAATTAGATTTCTGATCCTTCAGTCCTATATGCAGGATTGGCTGTTGCAGTGCACCCACATAGCCCACCTCAGTGACAGCATGTGTCCAGACATGACAGATCTGCAAAGAAGACACATGGAGAAAGTTAATCCTATTGGGACACTTCTGCCTGTGCAAATTACCACAATTAAGACACTGTAGGTTATTCTGAAAAGCGGGGTTGTTTATCGAGGAGGGAGGATGCATTCACTGCAGGTGATGTGGGTGGGAAGATTTCGGGGGCATCTTTATTTCTATTTTGATATTTTTCTAAAGTGGCGTGTTCAACTTTTTTATAGCAGATTTTAAAAGGTAACATTTAAAAGCAATATGTGATCCATGCAATTGATACTGTATCTTAATCTGAACCTTGCTGATTTAACACAAGTGATTCAACTCCAGGCAGCTCTCCCACGATAGACAGAAACGACAGGGGTTATGTGGGTAAGGATTTTTAATCTGTTTATTTATGATAATGTAGGCAGTGTATCATTAAATAAACTTGGTTGTTACCAGATAGTTTTTCTTTTTCTTCTGTAGCTCCATCTGGGCACATTTGTAATGAGCTATATCAGTATTTTCCCTTGTTTTAATCACTGTATGGCAACACGTATAAAATGCCACTAACAATTGCAAGTAATCCATACTTTTAGTATTTTTGAAAAAGTTTTCCATTCTTCTAGGCTGGTTCAATGTTTTGGGGGGTTTTTTCCACATTAAGGACCCCTAAACTGACACAAATTAGACCATGGGCCCATGTTTTGGCTTTTAGATGTTTTATTACCAAAAGTGTTTGAAACCCATGACCAAAACAGTCCTACAGTCTGTCATATTACATATAGATGGGATTACAGTGAAAATCAATTATTCCCATTTTTGCTGGGGACTCCCTGGAGCCCCCTCAAGGACCCCAGGGGTTCCCAGAACCACACTTTGAGAATCACTGTTCTAGGCAACCATTGCTTTCCACTCATCTGTATGTGTACGTTCATCACAGAGAATACCATGGCTACTTACAGTAATAAAAGCATGGTGTAATGGAGCATGTCGATGTGTTAAAGTGGACGTGGTGCATACAGTCTATGCGTGGTGCTCATACTGGAGGATTACGTTGCAATCTCAAACAAGCTGATTTGTTTTATGTAACGTCACTGAAGTCTGAAACCGTGACGGACCTGACGGGCGGGGCTCTCGAACTGGACCTCTCGCAGTTCGAAAAGAACAAAGCCGGCGGCAGAGCGGGGTTAAAATCAAACATCTTATTGTTTTAAAGGGAAACCCGTTAAACCGACCTAAACTTTTTACGTTGCTACAGACGGTGGTGGTAACATAGATGTTCGCTGAATACAGCCTGACAACAATATAACGTAATTCCTTTTAAACGCAGCTAGTTGACTAAACATGGACACCGGTGAGTAAACGTAACGGAAGCATTGCCAGCAGTTGGCCAACAACATAAACGTTAAGGTAATACATGCTAGCTCACGTAGCAGTAACGTTAGCTTGCCAGCCGTTTGGACAATGCGAGTGGAATCAGTAAAGATATTTCACCACAATGAGCGTTTCATTTAATTTTCTTACCGTGCTATGTCCCCCACTCGTGTCCCCTGTACATATGAATGTGACATAACTGCTTGAAGAAGAAAGATTAGGTCGACACCAGTCAGATTGGCAGCGGCGGCTGTGCATAATAGGATAGGATGACACACCCTGCTAAGTTTCCTCTGTTTATAGTGAATTTAAAGTGGAAACACACTGTGCTTACACTTAAAAGTATTCCTCTCCCAAGTGTCTTGCAATATCTCTCCAGATTTCAGTTTTTGTTTTATCTGACCATCTCTGTAAACCTTTTCTTATTCCACTCAGGGACACCATTGTCTTGCAGTGCTGTGGTGGCCTTTGTGAATGCTGCAAGGTGGCCTGGTGTCCTATATCACCTGTGTATTTTTCATTTCTACTACTAAAAAGTGACAACATTTGCCCTTTTTTATTCAGATCATCCTCTGAAACCTTACTTAGGCCATGGGACACTAAATTCAGACCCAGATTAATTATTCTTTCTTGTGTGTTGGCAGTTCTTGACAGCAGCACGTCTGGAGAAATAAATACAGACTCATTTTACATTTTGCATACTTATGCAGCCGTGGTTAGTAAGGAACTTTTTCATAACTGTGGTGGACAACATGACAGGCTCTGTCTTCTCTGGTCACCCTACTGTTTGTTTCTGTCTACCCCTGCTGGCTCAGTGGTGTCTGTGCTTGAGTAAGAAATGCTCAGCAGTCAGTGTCCTCAATCAGATCCAAGAGTGAGTAAATGACTGAACCTCAAAATCTGTTGTCTGTGGTAATAATACCTAAATTAAACCTAAACACATACTCCCAAAGTCCATCTGTTCTGGAGCAGCTCCCTGGCTCTGCAGTTGGAAGTTCTCGAGTAATTTTCATGTGAAGCAGCCAAAACACTGCAGTGGTCCTTCACTGGACCTTAACCAGTGCAGAGAAGCTATGAAGCAGGTATTTATTTGCAACTCCAAATGAAGTGTAATACTCAGTATGAAAAATAGATTTGATTTTTTTTGTAGGTTTGCAAAAAAATCTTATTTAATCAAACATGGGATTTAGGTAATTTATGACCTTTGTGGTAAATGGAACCATTTTTTCTGTCTTTTTCTCTGTTTTCTTTTTTCGAGTAAATATATTTGTTGTTGTAGGTGAAGGTTGTACCAGCTGACTGAGGTGACCAAACTGAGACTTTGTAGGGGATGGAGAGGCTTAAGTCAATTAAATCCAGCAGGCTGCAGTCTGACAGAACAGCAGGACGAGGAGCAGGCACACAGTACAGCACTCCAAGGGTAAGTCTTCCTGTAGTGCAGGAGAAAGAACAAGACATTTACACTTAAACTAACTGGACCAAAAATAAGTGACCAGCCCTGATATTCATTGTTATGTTTAACATTTGAAATATCTGCCGGAGGCAGATATATTTAGTCTGGATATGGTTGGATTTTGGTTTGTTTACACTAAACATGGGAAAGGTTATACTGTAAAACCTGTTCTTTTTGAAGCAGCTGAATTTGATGTGTTTGTGTCTTGCTCTTCATGCGCTCTGTACCCCTTGTGCGGATTTTAGGTTTTTCATGTTTTCTTTAAACCTCTGTAGAATTGCAAATTAAATGCATTTTAGTAATATTTTTAATGAAGTGGGTCTACAAACAGTTTTTTCATCACTTGCTTCCAGTTTTTGACACCATGTATTGTCCCTATAGCAGGCATACCGAAATTACATTTTTCAAGTGCTTAATGTGTGGTCAAACATTCAACAGTTGGCTCCACAGCTGTCTTGTCTGAAAATTTTGCATTGACAGGGCAATTCTCTGATGATGCTTTGGTTCTCTGATTATTGAGGTACCAACCATGTTTTTATTTTTCTGTAATTAACAGTCATGAAATGTACTGTCCCGTGACCTTGCAGGCTAAGCCCCCTCATTAACCGCTCGTGTTTACATGCGTTGAGTGTGCAACGATTACTCTTTGTAATCCAGTTTCATTCAGGGTGAATGAATGGGCAGTTCATCATTGCACTTTCAACGGGACATTATCCTCTTGCAGAGATGGAAATTTGTGAGATATATAGCTATCTTTTGCAGATTCCCAATAGTATGATTTATTTCAGGTTTGGTACACTGGCATCTTGTATAATTATTTATTAACTTTATATTCTGAACACCGTTGTTAACTTTAAAGGTGGAATCTCAGTTGGAGAGACAATGTAGTGCCTTTTGTACTACACAATCTGCAGCATAAAGTAAGACCAATTCCCAGATGTGTAATGAGCAGTAAATTCAGAGGCAGCTAGATCAGAAATCTGCCTATTTAACAGTGGCAATATTGTATTTGTAGTATAGGACAATGCATTATACTGTTAAATAATTTGTAGAAGAAATTTGTTATTGTGGTTGGGAGACGTCCTTTTAGTCACAAGGTTAATGTTCATATGTAGTTCAGGTGCAGCAGATGGAGACAGCGTTAAGGGATTACAGTAACTCCTTAACCGTCTGCAGTCAGTCAGTCAAGTTCAGCATCAGATTATAGTGCTTCGTCCTCCATTTGGGGAGGAGGGTGGAGGCAGAGGAAAGGAGAGGGGCCGGCCCAGAGTCACATGTGCTCTGTGCTACTGCTGCAGCTGACCGGATACCGGCCTCGGCTGTCTGGATTGCACAAACAGTGGCTGTGGGAGGTGTTGTGGATGCAGGGGGTACGCAGCTCTGTGAGAACACACCTTAGGTATCCATTCAGTTTGCCATGCTGATTACATGTTGGTATTTATACCTCGCTGCTCGGAGCATCGCAGAAAAATGCAAGTATTGCTGATGTTTTTGTGTCAGGCCGAGTGTCTTTTCAAGGTGAACTCTGCAAGGGGATAGTGTGTAGGACAGAGCTCAGTCAGTGTGTTTTCTTTTTTGTCTTGTAATGGATCTAGATGTCAGAGAAGTCATGCTTCCACTGACATAAATGTCAGGCTTAAGTTGTAATCCCTCTACACAATATAACACGCAATGTCCTGAATGCAGTATTTATGCAGTTTGAGCATGCAGCCTGCTCTCTAGGTGCAGGACTGTTTCCCTCAGTCGTGTCTCTGCTTTTTAGTGTCTGTCACTTGTCCTCAACATGTTTCATGACCAGGAACACTCTTCTCTTTTTCCTTCCTCCCCTTCTTCAATGTTACACTCCTCAGCACTGAGAATGGCCTCAATTATGCAGAAGCTGATCACCCCACTGTTCAGTGGTCCTCCTGAGCCCCCTAGGAATAAAGTGACAGTGGTGGGTGTGGGCCAGGTGGGCATGGCCTGTGCTGTCAGCATCCTGCTCAGGGTAAGAGCCCCACTGGTTATTGCCTCTGCTCGGATTACCTTCACGCCTGCTGGTGTCACAGGATGGGGTAATACCCAGGATCCTCCTGGACTGACACCAGATTACTGATCTCTTGGTGTCTGATGACTTTTATCCCTTCACTGTCCTTGTTAAAATGTGGGGACAATGACAGAATGACAGTACAGTAATAGTAGCAGCAACTTTACCATATTGGTTTACTACATTGAGAAATCCCTTTATCTAATTTTAACTGTCATTATACCATGTGCAAAGCAGATCACTGCTGACAAAGTAGCTAAGAACAGGGAGAGGTAAATATAGATTTATGATCAGGTTTTGATTTGTGACTAAATATATGTTCATCTTGTTTTATCTGAATTGAGTTTGAGAAAATCGTCAGACTGACCCATCCAGTTTTATATGCTAATTATCCTGCAATAAAATAATATTAATTTAGTCATTAGGCTTAATTTATGCTGTATATATATATAATTGAGTGTGATCTGTGTTAAAGTGATATAAAATGCAGCGATATAATGTCTTCTTATGGGAGAGCATGCATGCAGAAAACTATAGTTTAAAATAACCACTTGATGTGCCAGATGGAGGTCGTACAACAACAGTGAGTCAGATATATTTAATCCCTCAAAACAAACAGCTTGAACTTCTTTATTGAGGTTATTTCAACTTGTAACTTTGGCCAAAACAAGATATGGTGCTGAATGAGTGTACTGTGGGGTTAAAAGTGTTGTGTGTGTTGTTCTGAACGTCTGTGATGTGTGTAGGAGCTGGCTGATGAGCTGGCTCTGGTGGATGTAATGGAGGACAAGCTGAAAGGAGAGATGATGGACCTGCAGCACGGCAGCCTCTTCCTCAAAACCCCCAAAATAGTTGCAGACAAAGGCAAGTTTACGCGTCAGACATGGCAAGAAACTCCATCTTAGTTTGATAAACACAGATCGGGTATTTACAGGGTGCAGCTAACTGGCAAGCATTGTGACTGGAGCATTTATGTCACTATTGGCATTAAAAAAAGACATTTGAACCTCTGATTATCTAACTGTACCTGGGTAATCTGAAAGTGAGGACAAATCTACTCCTCCTCTTCCTCCCTGTCTCTCAGACTACTCTGTGACAGCAAACTCCCGCATCGTGGTGGTGACAGCAGGAGTCCGTCAGCAGGAGGGAGAGAGCAGGCTGAACCTCGTCCAGAGAAACGTCAACATCTTTAAGCACATCGTCCCTCAGATTGTCAGATACAGCCCTGACTGCATCATCATTGTGGTTTCCAACCCAGGTACTGTCCAACAAACATTTCTTCAGTCTTCTTTCTCTCACATACAGACATACTTTCTAATAACAACACCCTTCAACAGTTGACGTGCTGACCTATGTAACCTGGAAACTGAGCGGCCTTCCCAAACACCGCGTCATCGGCAGCGGCACCAACTTGGACTCAGCTCGCTTCCGCTTCCTGATGGCTGACAAACTGGGAATCCATGCCAGCAGCTTCAACGGCTGGATCCTGGGAGAACACGGAGACACCAGTGGTGAGCAAGCAAAACAAAAGTGTCACAATATATTATTGAGAACCAGATTATGACGGTGTGATGTGTGAAGTATGTAGTTAATGGTCTCACTGCGTGTCGTAGTGCCTGTGTGGAGTGGAACAAACGTGGCTGGAGTCAACCTGCAGACGTTAAACCCAGACATTGGCACCGACTGTGACGAGGAGAACTGGAAGGAAACCCACAAGATGGTGGTGGACAGGTAGGCTGAAGTTCACCTGGGTTACTCCCATCTCCTTGAGTAATACAATGTTTATTATACGCCTCTCGATGTAATCATATTGTGACGAAGTACTCATCTGTAACATTTTTGCTCACTATTCTCATGTCTAAATGAATGGTAACATCACAATAAGCTCAAAGTTTTATTAAAATCAGGTCACAACATTAGACCTTAAATAATAATTTAAATATGTTTATTTTTCAGCACATGTTTTGAAATGTAAAGGATTTTTTTACACTTTAGTTAAACTTTTTATCATCTGAATTTAAATGTTTTGATAATAAATGTCACATATCAAAACAGAGACAAAGTGATAACTATTGATATATTATATATATTCATAAATGTCATTATGCAACCAACCGCCAGCAGATGTTGCTTCTAAGAGTGTTATTGTGTGTGTGTTTTAAGTGCCTCTTATCTGCTTTATCACCATTTAAATCACCAAACTCTAATAAATCCAAACATTAAGCAGTCTGAAAATGAACTTGTGTCTTATGTCTCTCAGTGCCTACGAGGTGATTAAACTGAAGGGTTACACCAACTGGGCCATTGGTCTGAGTGTAGCGGACCTGACAGAAAGCCTCATAAAGAACATGAACAGGATTCATCCTGTTTCCACTATGGTGCAGGTAAAGGCTGCTTCCACACACAGATTCATTTTTGCATAAATTTTAGAAACTGCATCTTTAATTTAAAACAAATGCATCAACACATCCAGTTTGGAGATAAACCAAAAGCTAGTTGCTATGTAGCATCATCTAAAACAGTTTAGTACTGTGCACTAAATTACTTTTATGTTACTTTCTTAGCATTTTAGCATTTACATGTTCATTATTTTTGATTTATTGCAAGAAATGTCAAATGTCAGCAAATGTGGGTTTTAATTTTTATAAATTATAATTTTTCATGCTCAAATTGAGGTGTCAACATTTTTTATTTGTAAGCCAAAATCTGAAAGTAAATATTATTTCAAGCTGATTAAAATACAATGTTGAAAGTGTGCGTGTCACATTTAAAACATGGTTAGAACAGACAAATTAAGTAATATTGACTTTTAGTTTCAAACCTTTGCTTTCAGCTTGAAGTTGTGGCTTGGTTCAGTCTTTTCAAATATTAAGAATTTACATTCTCTCCTGACACTTGTTCATTGTCAACAGGGGATGTATGAAATCAGTGATGAGGTGTATCTGAGTCTGCCCTGCGTGCTGAACAGCGGCGGTGTGGCCAGCGTGGTCAACATGACCCTGACAGACGACGAGGTGGCCCAACTGCAGGCCAGTGCCAACACGCTGTGGGACATCCAGAAGGACCTGCAGGACATCTAACTAACAGCTGGGGGCACTGTACCTTCCTGGCTTCTCATCACCCGCAGTATTACATTCAGCTTCAATCCACTGCCCTTTGTAGATTCACAGGCGTATGGGAGTTTCATCCCGCCAGATTTAGCCATAGCTGTCAGTTTGCACACTTCTGCTCGCTGGACACCAAATGTGACATCAACTGAGTGAAACACTGCTCTGACTCATTTGTCCTCGACTATGCTGAAGTGCGGGACCCCTCATGTTGCTTTGATGTGTAATAAAGGAAGTTTGTGGTTGCTTGAACAGGAAGTGCATGTGGTCAGTTATTCCGCGCTAAAGTAGAATTTACAAGATGTTTCTATAATGCTTTTAGTTTAAATTGGTCAAACTGAAGCAGCATTTGGTCAAAATGAGCGACTGGACACATTGTATTATTCACAGCCGCCTACTATCAGAACTCTTTTCGGATGTCAGAAACTCCTGAGAAAAGCTGTAGTTCAGGTCTTTTTTAATTACATGGGCCCTTAAGTGAGTCTTTTCCAATTTAAAGACTTGGCAGAATGTCTTTAATCCAACAAGAATAAGAATATCACTCATCTTGCTTGCTAACAAGGAGACAAAAGCTACAATGTCCTTTTATACAGGTGTGGTGCAATTGTTTCTCCAGTAATATATCTCTGTCCACTCCATCTTTTAACAACATTAAGGATGGCCTAAACATGTGCTAAGGTTTGCAGGGGAACACTGACACATCACATGTAGGGGAAACATAGATTTTAGATATCCTGGCATTCATTTATTAGTTGTGGTGTACAATTTTGCATTGTAGGAAGGCATTTCTAGCACAAATATAAAATATTAGTGCATAGGTCGGTTGATATTTTCTATCTAAATCTTCCTCCCATTTCTGGTCAAGTTTGATGTAAACTAATGAAACTAAGCCATTAAAAGAACAGTGTGGTGTCATAGTATCACCACCAGTTGTGAAACAGGAAACCCAGAAAATTCAGCCTGTCCTCACCAGAAAAATTAACACATAGGCTGTTTGTTTAGGCATCTTATTACAACCCATATTTACTAGGGGTAGGGGGGAAAATTGATACAGATAGTATCACAATATTTTTTTGTGGCAAAAATGTATCGATACACAGACACCAAATAACGATCTTTTATAAAATAAATTGCTCGTGAGAAATTAACTTTTTGGCACTAGATTAATAAAATCAATTGCCTTAGATTAGAGATAACTACTAGATGGTGCTGTTGAGTTCTTTTTCTAGTGATGTCAGCCTGGGTGACAGCGGAGGAAAATACCATTCGTGTTTAATTAAAATCTATGGACTTTGGGGTTTTTAATAAGGAGGGGACGACGGAAATGGATATGAGACATGGGATTTGCAAGAAATGTCGTTTGAAAATAAAATACTCTGAATACCGCAAACATGATGGCTCATCTTACATGCCACCATTCAGAGGTAGTGAGAATGATGAAGCTAATGCTAAATGAGCTCCACCGAAAGTGAGATGAACAAACAGAAATATATTTTTTTAGATAAAACAGATGTTGACAAAGTTGATTGTGACAAAAGTATCATGATAATATCATATCGTGGGGCCTCTGGTGATTCCCCACCCATAATATTTACATTTATTGTGGCTGAGACCTCTAGTGGTCGTATGGCTTGTACTTGAGTCCCATGTGAAACCCAGTAAATGCTGAGTTTTTTAACATTTCAAGTAAAATAGCGTTACTCACTTTGCGTCACGTAGGCTTACTTACTTACTACCCAAAAGGTTTCCTAAACCTTACCAAGTAGTTTTGTTGCCTAACCAAAATGCCACCATTTCACAACGTTAACTACGTGTTAACTATGTCACCTGACTTAGGTAGCCTGTAGGTGGACTGGTAGGAATCTTATATGTGTCGTTTTGGGAGGTATTAACAAATTACCTATTTTGTCATCTAGGTATGAGTATATGTTGTATCACAACCCAGTCACAGTTGGGAAAATCTCTGTAGTGTCTTGGTGGAGATTAGTGCAATTTTGTAGTTAACTGGATAAATTCATGTGTTGCTGACTGATAAGCCTATGGTGAACATCTTCCCAAACTAAATAGTTGCTTTTAAAGAAAATTGTTCTGATTTATGTCAGGTCAAAAAAATACGATAAATAAGATAAACACTTAAATATGTCAGCTGGTGACCTTTGTTTGACCCAGTCAAGGCTAGTTCAGGCTGCCATTTCCAATAAAACTCACTGGGGCTCATCTCTCAGACCTCGGTGTAGACAGCGTGATGAATGACTGAATGGTGTTTAGCATGGTGTTAATCACCATGTGGTGTGAATGATGTAAGTGTTGCCCCAAGCGAACACAAGCCTTTTTCTTAAATCGATAACAAGTTGTACATACTGGATTCTTCAAGCTCATTAAGGAGAAGACAATCATAAAGTCCAACAATAAGTAAACACATCTCATCTTGCTCAGAGTTGAACAATCCTACTCACACACAAGGCAAGGGAATTTGATTCACAGCACATTTAATTTCAATTTAACTCAAATAGTGACAAATTCCTTGTTTAAAAAAACATAAATACAAGAAAGTGCAACAGTGAAAAAGAAAAGAAGAAAACAAGTGTAGTGAACGCTTCACAAATAGTTAAAATTCAGCTCTGGGTAACTCTCTGGATTGCCTCCACCTGGGGAAGAAAACAGATTAACAATTCAATTTGCTCAGATGAAGGTGAGACCAAGTGTTGGTGATAACTTTCAGGGTTTTTACCTTCTTCCACAGCTCGCAGCAGAAGCTCCAGAAGAATGGATGACAAAGACAGTCCAAGTCCATCAATGCTCTGGTTGAGAGTCACTGCAGATGCAGAGCAAAGACATTTGAAAAGACAAGAAAGGGCACAACCAAGACAAGAAAGAGAGAAAATACAAACATAGCCGGATGAGGAGGAGATGAATATAAGAACAGCTTTAAATAATGATATCAAATTGATATCATGCAAGTTCTTAAGTACCACTTTATAACAAAGACTCCTTTAGAAAGTGAATGTAACCATTAATAAGAGCAACTTTTGGGAAGCCAGGTTGTGAAACATTTAAAACTATTTTATGTAGGACTGAGTAAGCCATTTGATTCATTGAATGGTTTGTAAAATTTCAGAAATTATTGACATCTTTTCTACTCTCATTTAGTCCGAGCAATAGCACAAACCTCAAAATTATTAATAATAAAAAAAGCGAATCCTCACATTTGAGAAGCTGGAACCATGTAATGTTTTTACATGAAAATCAACAAATCGTTTCAGTTGTACTGTAATAATAATAATAATAATAATCCTTATTTGTAGAGCACTTTTCAAAAACAAGTTACAAAGTGCTTTAACAAGTGTAAAGAATAATACAAAAAAAAACAAGATAAGAGCATGAAAAATTAATATAAAATTAGTAAAATACAATAAAATAAAAGGGATAAAATAAAGTCAAATAAGATCGGGAAAGGCTCTCCTATAAAAGTATGTTTTAAGAAGGGACTTAAAAGAGTTCACTGACTCAGCCGACCTGATTTCCTCAGGCAGGCTGTTCCAGAGCCTCGGGGCCCTGACAGCAAACGCTCTGTCCCCTTTAGTTTTCAGTCGAGACTCTGGAACAGACAACAGACCTCTGCCCGAGGATCTCAAGGTACGTGCTGGTGTGTATGGGACTAAAAGTTCAGAAATATAACAAGGCGAGAGGCCATGAAGAGCTTTAAAAGTGATCAATAGAATTTTAAAGTCAATTCTAAAACATACTGTGAGCCAGTTAATGAAGCTAAAATAGGAGTAATGTGGTCATATTTCTTTGTTACTGTAGACCTATATATTGTTAGGTACAAGAGTGTTACACTAGCAGTACAGTAGTTACTTTATAACAAAACGTAATATCTTATAAGATTATCAAATGTTTTGTATATAAATATCTTAATTTATAAAGCAACTAGTTACTAAAGCTTTCAAATAATTGTAAAGTGAAAAGTATATTATTCCCCTTTGAGATGTAGTGCAGTAGAAGCAAGTGGCATGAAAAGAACCCAGTACCTTACACTGGTACTTAAAGTAAGTACAGTACTTGAGTAAATGTATTTGTAGAATGTAGTTATATTCCACCACTGCAATTAAAAATGTAAATAAGACATCAAATAATGATTTTTACTATAATCCAAGTTTGCTGTTATGTTAATACATTGTTATTAAATTAATTATGGTTTTCAGCTATACTGCAAATTTTTAAGACGCAAAAATAATACTGCACCAATGCTTACATAACTATTTTGTCTTTATTTATACCATTGGCTGCAGAGCATCACATTTTACACTCACCTAGATGTAAAGTGTCCCCTTCCTCCCTGCCAGTGCGCTCCAACACTGAGCGATGTCCTGCTGTAACACATCAGCATTCAACATTTATTTCTCTTCATTTGACAAGACAGCTAAAAACAAGGCAATTCCACAGTTTTACATTTCCTCTGCAAATTCTTACATGCTCCTTTTAGGTATAAGATGGCCTGAGGGGTCCAGTTTCTCCGCTGAGAAGTAATGAGAAAGATATGATTTTATTTCTTAAAGCATTTATACATGGAAGAGGAAAAAATCAACTTTTACCCACCTGAGGTGCACTCCAACACTGGGTAACCAATGTCACCACAAGGAATGAGACTATTAGAGACATTGCTGAACCCTGTAATGACATTTAGTTTAATTAAAAATAACATTATTACCACTACTACAACTACTACACCCTCACCACCACCATTTAATAAATAGTTTATAACACACTATGTAATTGTAAGCAATAATGAACAGTATTTGTCTGCAATTATAACTTCTTCATTAAAAACTTTTATATTGTTATATTTTATTTTCATTTAATTTTCATTCATTATCTGCTTACATACACATATGGGTGCCCACAGAAGGAGTAATAACGATAAACTCTTATTTCTGCTTGTAACTACATTACAGCGTGTTATAAAATTTTTACATATGCTGTATGTTTATAAGTATTAAATAGGGGGACTTTATGTTTTACTTATAACTCAATCTCAAAGTGAAGCAAAAGTTTAATTAATCCCTGACTTCTCTGGTATTTTAAGAAAAAGTAAAATAGTACAAACACTGACAAAATACAACAACTACTAGTACTACTACTAATAATAATAATAATAATAATATATTACCGTTAATTTCTGCTCTTCTGCAGTCTGCAGCTTGAGTTTAAATGTATGAGTTGTGCTTCGTTCTCCTCTGTCACTGCTGTTACATGACTTAAAAAACAAAGCAAAGCACCTCATTATACTGCGTCAGTGATGAGGGTGAAAGGTGGCTTCATTACGTCTCAAGCAATTTATCAATTGATGGCAGTGACAGGTGCTGTTAAAGCTGCCACTGTCCATTAATAAACTGTCAACGTGCAGTGGCAGCACGCGAGAGAGGTTTAAACCTCTGTGAACAGCAGAGTCTCTTCACAGGGTCGCCAGCGTGCTGACGTCACTGGTGAGATTTATGAATGAAGCGGATGTCAGTGAGGTAGGTGGGTGTTGACCACCCCCTGCACAGCAGTGTTGGGGAATGTAATTTAGTTGTGTAATTTAATTACAAAATAAATGTAACTGTAATTCTTTACAGTTACTAGGAAAAAATGTGTACTTAAATTACAGTTACCGAAAATGTTCATGATTACATTGGGGTTAAATCTGAATATTTTCTGTAAAAAGCTAGGCTATATGTTTAATAATAATTATTGTAATTTTTCCAGTGCACAAACTCTTCCTTTGCCATTTCCAGCCGTTTAGTAAAGTTTGATGCTATTCTGATGCTTTTGATTGATTCTCATGTTTGAATTTGCAACGGCCCGTGTCTGCCAGTAAAACTGCCTTTGTCTTTTGAAAATGGTTAACAGTTGAAAACATTCATTAGAAATTTAGAAAAGTAAATAAAAATAATTAAATGTAAGACATTATATACTTTGAAAAGGGAATTAAAATAGTTACACTACTATTACATTTTAAATAGGGAAACTTGTATTCGGTAACCTATTACATTTCCAAAGTAAACTTCCCAACATTGCCTGCACGATACCTGGGGCTCAGGAGTGCGTAAAAGAAATGGTAAAAACACTTCAAATTGTTGTGTACTGTATTGTTAATGTGGCTGTTTATATGTTCTAAAAATAAAAAATTATTTTAAAAAACAAACCAGTTCCTGTAAACATTTGGTGTCTTTATCCCTTTTCATTTGAACGTAACAGGTCAAAATGCACTTATAATTGCCTTCTTGCCACAAGTCAGATGAAAAGATTGTAGCACTAGCAGCCGGTTAGCTTAGCAAAAAACAGAGGGTGGACTGCTAGTCTGGCTATGTCCAACAGCTCCTACCAAAACTTCCAAAACTCACTAATTAACATGTTACATTCAGTCTATGGTTACATCTCGTTTGTTTTATCAGTACAAAAACAAAAAAACCTTAAAAACAATGGGAGGACAACACACTAAGTTACTGCTGTGTTAATGCAAAAAACACCTTTACAAAAAAAAAAAAAAAACACACTTTATTTCAAGTATGCACTTACAAAAGTTACAGTAAAACATATCCATAACAATCATCCTAAACCTTTTTACACAACAGGTCAGGTTTCCTCACCCACATAACATTTAGCTCAACATTATTTATTTTTTAATGTACAAAATTCCAGTAACACTTCATTGAAGAAAAGCTCTCAGTGACTGTTCAGGCACACAATCTGGAGGAGTATACGCTGTGTAGAGCTCCTGACTCTCCGCTGAGTTCATCCAGTGGCCCCAACTTATAAATATCAGACTGGAATGATACAAAACAGGAGACCTGCTTCCAGCTTTTAAAATTAAAGTTAAAAAAACTCTTGGTAACGTTGTCCAAGTGGCGGTCGGATACAAAACATCATGATGTCAAACGTCCACAGATACACTTGTGTCTTCTGTGCAGAAACATGTTTGGATTCACAGTTGTGGAGTGGCAATGACCAAAATATACAGTCACTATTGGAAACTAGGATAAATACGGAAACTCTTCTCCAGTACAAAACCAGCCCACTGTTATACCATATTGTTGCTCTCACCAATTTTATCCACCAGCTGAAAGAGAATAAGAGACCAATCTAGAGTTAGTTTTTAAAACTTTAAAAAATTCAATGCAAACAAAGTTTAAAGCTCAGAGGAAGATCACGAGGAAAATGTCTGTGAGGAGGTTCGTTTGAAAACAAAATATTTTACCTGAAAAACATTATTAATAAACTGATTGGGTGTCCGTCAGATTTTTTTATTTCACAGTTGCAGTTTCTGATCCATTCAATAAGACTTTCTGGTGTGAAATTACTTTGTAGAAATTGTTAAAATGATAGTAATGAAGCAGCTGGAAAGCTTTAGTTTTTCTTACCCTTCCTCTCCAGTGAAAACCATGTATCTCAATATTGTGATTTTGAATTAAAATAATTCTGGATAACTGAAGTATATCTATCCTAACTTTTTTTATTAAACTGGGATTAGCTGGAAAATGCATCATTACAAAGCTGACCACAGAGCTACTACAGAACAAATACTTTGCTTAAAATACTTAACATGCTTATACTTAAATAAGGTTTTCAATGCAGGACTTTTGCTTGTAGGGGGTATTTTTACAGTGTGGTATTAGTATTTTTCCTTAGAAAAAGAAGTAATATATTGACTGAAGTGTTACCATATAATGTAAACATTATTAAAACAAATAAGAGAACAAGAGGAGGCCTACATTTTAATTATCAAAGGTATGATTTAATTAAAATATAATGCACCACACTTCTTCCACCACTGGGAACAGATGATATCATGGTCTGAAAGTCTTTGGAAAGTACTAAGAAGGAAGTTTTCCCTAAAGAGGCAATTGTATCTGAAACTAAAAAACCCTCCAGATTTGTAAAATGTCTTTACCCTTTAAGTGTCTGTGGCTGAATGACAACAGTACACCACATACACCAGAGTTACCATGTTCTGATAACTGATCCTGAACACTTACAAAAGTCTCACACAGACAAGAGACTCTAAGTGAGGAATCCCACGAGGACGCGTTCAGAATAGCAGAGACATTGTTCTCCAGACAAGAGAGAAAGACTCACATTTCAGTAAAAGCCTTCCTATCAACACGTTTTAAAAGAATCTACAGGTTGGCAAAATAATCCCAACTATCCTAGTTTCATTCAGACCTTCATTAGTCTTCATTAGCAAATGGACTTCACCAAGTTCAAGAATCAACTTTAATGCTTGATCATAAACGGTATTTATTCCTGTTTAAGAAGCTAAAAACTGTGTTTACTTTGCAGTACTCTTTGCTATTTTAAAATGATTTCCAACTTTCCTGTCAGAAATTGATTTTAGTCTGTCAGTACTATATTAAAATCACTTGCAGAGACTTGAAACTTGCTTGAGATCTGTAATCTATCACGTTGAACATTTACTCACTTTTATTTACTTTAGTTATTTTGTTTTTGTCAATTTTCACCGAAAATTTTCATGATTACATTGGGGTTAAATATGAATATTTTCTGTAAAAAGCTAGGCTATATGTTTAATAATAATTATTATAATTGTTTCCAGTGCACAAACTCTTCCTTTGCCATTTCCAGCCGTTTAGTAAAGTTTGATGTTATTCTGATGCTTTTGATTGATTCTCATGTTTGAATTTGCAGCGCCCCGTGTCTGCCAGTAAAATTGCCTCTGTCTTTTGAAAATGGTTAATAGTTGAAAACATTCATTAGAAATTTAAAGAAGTAAATAAAAAGTAATTAAATGTAAGACATTATATTACTTTGAAAAGGGAATTAAAATAGTTACACTACTATTACATTTTAAATAGGGTAACTTGTATTCGGTAACCTATTACATTTCCAAAGTAACCTTCCCAACATTGCCTGCACGATACCTGGGGCTCAGCAGTGTGTAAAAGAAATGGTAAAAACACTTCAAATTGTTGTGTACTGTATTGTTAATGTGGCTGTTTATATGTTCTAAAAACAAAAATCATCATCATCAAAAAAAAAAAAACAGTTCCTGTAAACGTTTGGTGTCTTTATCCCTTTTCATTTGAACGTAACAGGTCAAAATGCACTTAGAATTGCTTTCTTGCCACAAGTCAGATGAAAAGGTTAGCTTAGCAAAAAACAGAGGGTAGGCTGCTAGTCATGGCCAACAGCTCCTACCAACACCTCCAAAACTCACCAATTAACCAGTCTATGGTTAGATCTCGTTTGTTTAATCAGTACAAAAACAAAAAAACTTAAAAACACTGGGAGGGCAACACACCAAGTTACTGCTCCTGACACAAGAACTACGTAGGTACATATTTACTTTAGTTATTTTTTGTCAATTTTATTTTGTCAAGCACTGTCAAGGTATTGTCCCCCATGTTGGTGCGTTTCAGACCTTCAGGGAAGAGATTATGGATTATATTTATTGATGCATGAACATGTTCACGGCTTGCAGCTAGTGAAGGTGGGGTTAAAATACTTAGATTACATACTGCCACATATTTAATAATACATCATAATTTATTAATTGATTTGTATTTATAATGTAAATCTGTAAAGTAACTAGTAACTAAAGCTGTCACATAGTATAAAGTAGCATAAAATGGTAAAGTACAATTCAAATACCTCAAAACTGTACTTAAATACAGTACTTGAGTAAATATACTTCATTCCACCACTGGTTTCATAAACTACTAAATTAATCTTTAATTACTGCTTGCCTTGGCAGCCTAATGTTTTTGTCAACAGCTTGTAAACGCAGTGTTTTTCATGATGTCCCTAACAATTATAGGATGTTGTTACTGCTTTTGATATGAACCAAAACCAAAGTCAAAAACATCCCTTAACCACATTAACACATACAATAAAGTAAAGGGGGCAGAAAAAAAACGTGTTAAATATTCTTTGTAATGAATTAGCCATCTCAAACAAGTCTAAAGTCTCAAATAACTTAAAGGGTAATTCCTGTACTTTTTAAACCTGGGCCCTATTTTATATATTAAAATACCGAAATGATCCTTTAAAGGGATGTTCAGTTTGCGTTTTGCAATTTATTGGTGGTCATGATAAACTTACTGTACTGATTCCTGGTAAGCCGAGCAAAGACCCAAGCAAAGGTACTCGTCTGATGAAGCCTACTGCCACCGGGAAGAATCCTCTGTTAAAGAGAGAGAGGACCAGGTGAGACCAAAACATATTAATCATGTTAATTAAAAAGGTTTTTACTTCTTTCTGTGTGAGCTGACCTGAATAAGAGGAAGAAACCATAGATCTCCAGAACGACTCCAATGATCGGCCAGCCGATCAGAACCACTAACACTCCTCCCAGGAAGAAGCTGGTGGCTTTTACTTTGTGTCTCTGGAAGAAGAACCTGAATGTTCGCTCCAGGCCGATAACGAAGGACAGACCTGAGACAAACAGAATCTGCACAAAAAAGCAAACACACACAATACAATCAGAGGTGTGACGTCTATCAGGTCATACAAGGGAGATGCTTCACTGTCACACAGTGTGGTAACAGTGTTATTGATCAACTTACATTTCCAATGGCGAGGAGAGCTTTATCAAAAAACAGCATCATCCCAAAGAAGAGGAAGAACACACCGAACCCTGTCAGCCCCATTCCAATTTCTGTAGATTTTAAGAAACAGAACAGTTATTATTACAGCCATGTGGTAACATCACACATCATAAACTGTTTTTAGGAAACTGAGCAGCAGCAGACACTAACAGGGTACAACAAGAAAGAAAGACAGAAGAAAAATAAGACGTTAAACTGGAGTTACTTAAGCACACAAAAAATATCATGGATAAATGTATTACACACGTAAGTAAAAATTACTTAAATACTAATAATATGGTTGAGACTATATTCATTTTGCCAAACTGTTTATATAAACATAGCTTTTCTTTGATTATCACTGGCTGTATGAGGTCATTGTTGGCAATGTTGCAAATCACCAAGGAGGACTGCTTAAGGACAATATTGGAAATAAGAGACAAAGTACCTTGATCTGTAAGGTATCTTATTTTTTTCCAGCTTAGCCCAAAAACAGACATTTCAATCAACAGTTTCTCAAATGACTCAAATTCAATACATCACACTAAAATAAATATGTTATCCATATTGCAAACTCCCAATTCAGTGTATTAAATATTCATTTTCTAAATAGTTTTCAATCAATTAATTTTAATCTAGTTATTTGTTGAAAATGATAATGTTAAGACTTGCTCACATTTCCATATATGCAATTACTTTAAATGGATTACTTCTGTATATTTTATAAAACCAGATTTAATACTTCTTTGCTTTTGCATGGGTGATTTATATAACTGAGTTATTAAAATGTTGATAAATTAATAAAAGTAATAATACAAAGCTTTAATGCAATAAAACCAATCAATAGTTGATACCATGAATGCATATCAGAAGGCTATCAGAAGTCAATAAATCAATATTTTCCAATACGTCCAGTTTTTTCTTCATTTAAAAAAACGTGTACAGCTACGTGACGTAACTATGCCCTCAGCCAATGGCGTTTGAGCTGCTTACCTCATCCACTCTGTTAAACCGGGTTTTACGCACAAACACTACAAAAACACAAGAACAGCGGAACGCATATAAACTGGTCTTACTTTGTGAATCCGTGAGGGAAATCATTTTGGCGACAGCTGGACAATTTATCAAATCACACGAAGCTCGTAGCGACTCGAACCTGCTGCTGCCGCCGTTAGATGCCAGCGATGAAGGCTAACGCTAGCGGTGTGTTACGTGACGTCTTCCGGAGCCACGCAGGCACGTATTCTTACAAAGATCGTCTATGTGTACAGATGTTCTCACAACCTTCAATTATTTTTCTGACAGCGAAATAGTTGCTTGTTACTTTGCGGGCTAACATCTACATTAGCTACAAATCATATCAGCTTTTACTGCAGGTCTGCTGAAACTCTCAGTTCTTTTAAAACAAGACCGTAGACTTTTCTTTTTTTTCGCTGCCTTTTATTAAATCAAATTTCAGGATGTAGAATAATAAATTACACTGCAATGTAACTTTTACTGTCTTGTTTTATCCTGTTTTTATTTTCTATTAAACTCTTTAAAAAATGTATCCTGATTTTAATTACTATTCTACTCTTTTTAAGAATATATAATAAAAAATGTATCCTGTTTTTATTTTCTATTTAACTCTGTTGTTTTTATGATTTATGGAAAGCACACAAATTGCCTTGTTGAAATGTGTTATACAAATAAACTTGCCTTGCCTTTAAAAAAAATGCACTTTATATGATAAAATACCCAACAACATATTAAATGGTCTCCCATCATTACATTTATTCATTTAGCTGACGCTTTTATCCAAAGCGACTTACAATTGCTATATAGATCATAGGTCGTGCACCTCTGGAGCCTGGTCATATTTTATTTTATCATTATTTGCTACATTAAAACCAACTGACCAGAAAACTGTTGTCAGAGCTGCACTGCTCACTGTTACAAGATGTTAGACCAACAACATTTCACATTAAGTCAAAATATTGAGAACTTGCATATGAAATTCTTTTGTTGACAGTCAAATCAAATATTCATTGAATGGCCTTGAATATTGTCTTGTGATGTTATGTTTATTGTGTGTGTCTTGGTCTCTGGTGTATGTCTGGTGTATGTCTATGGTGTATGTCTGTTATGTTGCAAATGGAGCTGCTTTGACACAAGAAATATTTCAATCTAACAGTAAAGTATCAGCATCATCAACATAAGGGCCCAAATATGTCCAGTTTTTTCACATTACAAGTATGAGAGACCCCTGCTGTTACAACATTTATTAGTGTGTGGGTCAAGAAGTGAAACATGCTTGGGAGATGTAGTCCATAGCGAGCAGTGTAGCGGTGTTTTCCTGCTCTGTCTGTCTCTGTTTTGATTCTAGAACTCAGAGATCCGGGCGGAGTGAGACCTCTTCACTTTTTTTAAACGAAACTACTAATCTGCGCATGCACGGTTGAACATTTCTGCGCTTCACGACTGCGCAGCGATTGCGCCGTTAACTCATTAATTAAAACAAATCTGTTCGTTAATTTTCCCACATTTGACTAAGATTTCCTCCTCCTATTGTTGACCAGACAATGTATTTAATTTGTAATGTTGTCTCAAATACATAGAAGGTCAAGGACTCTGCGTACTTTTATTTCCGGGTATTTCAGGAAAGGAACTACAATTCCCACGAGCCCAGATGACAAGGAAGAGCGGCGCGACCTCATTCAGACGTGTCCAACAGAAACAGGAGTTTGTGTGGAAGCAGAAGACCTCCTGCAAAACATAAACTGCTGCGTATTTGCAAAAATGTACCGATCGGGAATCTGTTTTATCAAGTGACACTTTTTCCCGCCGAGTTTTTATAAACAGGGAACAAACATGGGAACAGCTTTGGCTATTGGTCTTGTTTTTATCGGATGCTGTAGCAATGTGGTGTCTCTGGAGCTGCTTGTAAGGTCAGTGACAAACTTAGACTGCTAATGAACTCATGTCGACTATCCCGCATAAAAGGTTTCACAGCCGAAGCATATTTTTCTTGTGACTTCCCACTGCACAAATATTTGTTACTATGGAATTGATAAATTAGCATGTTATCAGAGGTGGAAAGTAACTATTTAGGTACTAACTGCTAAGTGGCCTTTACATGTTTTTCTACTCGGGTAGAACTTGTGTACTGTTCATGAAGTGGTAAACCGAGTGTGTGAAGGCAGTTACTGTAGTTAACCTGTGACACAAACAGCAGGACGATCCACTTAAGTTTGTCCTGGAACTGTTTTTCCCATTAATGCAATCTGTGAAAACGTTTAAAGATGTTTCCAAGAGCAAAACATAACTGTGGAGGACGAGGTTGGAAAGCTGTATTTACCCTGACATCACAATGGTTATTTCCCTGGTACTATCATAAAATAAGATACTAGAGAACTTAATTCATTCCAAAGGTAATTATTTTGGCCAAGTTGTTTGATAAACATAGTAAAATGCATATATAATATAAATGTAAAACATATGTATGATAAGAAACCAAGCAAGTAAAAGTCAGATAAAATGAGATAAAGTACGGCGCGAAGTATGACCTAATGAAAAGAAAGTATTAATGAAAGTGCAGACACTGGTTGGTTGGTTGTTTTATTGGATCCTCATTAGCAGTCGCTAATCCTCCTCGTGTCAAATCAATGTCCAAAAGAGAAAATACGAAATAGATAAAGAAGCTTCATACAACACAACCAAATCAATAACAACACTAAACTTAAGTATTTGTTTGACCACATACTGAACTATAGCTCGCTAAAATGTAACTGGATCTGTCGATGTTAGCCCGATTTTTCAAAGAAATTTCAATAATAATTAAACAAGCACATTTCCCTGGCCCATTTTAAAGTAGTCACTTTTTTTGCAGCTGCATCATATACAGCTAAAACATTTTTAGCTTTACTCTTGAATCTGGGTATTTTCTTGCCTGATATCTGTTGTTTTCTTCTTCAGAGAATTTCCAGGATGTGGCAACATAGTCACCTTTGCTCAGTTTTTATTCATTGCTCTGGAAGGTTTCATCTTTGAAACTAACTTTGGGAGGAAGAAACCAGCAATTCCTGTAAGGTAAGAAAAAAATCAATACATTGATGGAGTTTGAACTTCCTGCTGCAGGAAAGATTTTGAACAAACGCTAAAACAAACCTGTTGCGTCCCTTTTTACCCCCAGAAACTATGTGATCATGGTGGCCATGTTCTTCACAGTCAGTGTGATCAACAACTACGCTCTCAACTACAACATCGCCATGCCATTACACATGATCTTCAGATCAGTAAGAATTGTTGTTTATCTGCTTTTCACCTCCATTTTTTGATTTTTCACATTATCGCTTAACCTCCATCTGTCACCTTCACCTCTGTCTGATCTCTGAGGTCAACCTGCTGTCTTGTTTGTCTGCAGGGATCGCTAATCGCTAACATGATCCTGGGAATAATCATCCTAAAGAAAAGGTATAACTACTTTCTCTGACGTCTGACAACAATAATACTTAAGACCTTGGCTACATGAGGACGTGTCTGCAGGTTAAAGCATCACAGTGCATCAATATGCAGTTTGATTGCAGTGTTTCGCCTTCTCACCCTGCAGGTATTCTGCCAGTAAATATCTGTCTATAGCTTTAGTTTCAGCTGGTATCTTCATCTGCACCATCATGTCAGCCAAACAAGTGGTGAGACCTCTGCAGAACACATTGCACTATAATAATGTCTCGATTTACGCTGTCTTGAGCTTGACTTGTAACTATTTTTTATATTCATATTGTCATTTTTTTCATGCAGAATGTGGCCAGTGAGGGATCAGAAGAGCAAGGCTTTAATGCCTTGATGCGCTGGCTTATAGGTGAGTTTGCCTTTAAATGACATTTCATTTGGAGTAGGGCTGCAATTAAAAATTATTTTCAGAGAAAACGGCTAATCTGCACATTAAAGGTGCAATCTGTAAGCTATGGCAAGAATTTTAATTTAAAACATTTTTGTTACATTATCATTATCAGGAAAAATTAAGAAGTAACTGTTCTGTAGTTCATTGCAGAGATATCTACTAAAGTTAGCATTCCAACCAGCTAGCTGCGGGCCCGTCCTCTGTTGTAAAGTTCAGCCCCCATAGTTTCAGCTGGGAGATGTGTGTGAGCAGTGTGTTCGCCATGTTTCACAAGCTCTCTTAGCTTTTTTTTGTCTAATAAATAAACATAATAAACTTACAAAATGTCAAGAAAGGAAATATTCTTACAGCTATTTTCCTTATCAAACTGAAAAATATAACTGTACACCTTCTGAAATCAGGATTATCCCTTTTTGACTGAATGAATTGCCTCGATTACTTATCGTAAAAAAAACTTCATTCATACTCAACAAAAACAAAATAAAACTCACCAAAACTGTCTTGGTTAGTCTTTACACTGTTCCAGACTCCACTGATAAAAACAGTAATTTTACCTCACAGAACACAGGAGTTGCTGGTCGACCGCTGCCTCGATCGGTTGGTTTGTTATTGTGTGTTAACCAATCGAGGTAGCCGTAGACCAAAGAGATAAAATGTATTATTTTTGCCAAGGTGGCCTTGACAAGAGAAAGGATCTTACTCTTTGACTAAAGATCTGTCTCTCTATGGATATTTTCCAGGTTGTCAGACACTTATAATAACAATCTATCCCTGTCAGTGGCGAAAACAAGCACTTTAGTGGATGTACACTGACAGGGCACAACTGCCCACAAGGATTACGTTGCAACCCAGTTTCGCTGGAGTGCGCTCACTCAATACTGGACCAGTTTCAAAAAATGTTTTCCCAATTAGTAGACAAAAGCATGGGGAAATATATTCGATTAGATTAAACCTTATTGTCATTATGCAGAGTACAAGTACAGAGCTAATGATCTGTGAGTATATGAAAAGCGTATAGAGGAGAAGTGGACAGGGTTAGAGATTTGATTAGAGATCTGATTTTTGTTTTCTGTCCATTCAGGTATTGCCATGTTGACCTTTGCTCTGCTGATGTCTGCCAGGATGGGAATTTTCCAGGAGACACTGTACAAGCAGTATGGAAAACACTCCAAGGAGGCCCTCTTCTATAATGTGAGTTTTCTTTCTGCTCCGATGTACACGACACTCCCAAAAGACTCAAATAGCTTCAAGGAAATTCAAGCTTCATTTGCGTTGAATAAGTTAGACTCTGTTTGTCCATCTTGTCTCTTTGTAGCACTGCCTGCCTCTGCCGGGCTTCCTGCTTTTTTCCACAGACATCTACAACCACTGTGTCCACTTCAGTCAAAGCAGTGAGTCTCATCCATACATTCAAGGAAAGGTTGTTGTGGGTGGAAAGTTTTGTATCTTTACTAACTTTAAACTTGTTTCTCAGCTCCTGTAGTTGTTCCTGAGGTTGGATTGACTGTGCCGATAATGTGGATCTACCTGCTGGTCAACGTCATCACACAGTATCCTGCAAACAAAAGATTGTCTCACTGGCTTGTATATATTTATTGTATACATTTTCTCACACTCTTGTTGCAGACTTTAACCAGTTTTTCAGGTATGTGTGCATCCGTGGTGTGTTCATTCTGACCACCGAGTGCGCCTCGCTGACTGTCACTCTTGTGGTGACCCTGAGAAAGTTCCTCAGCCTCATCGTCTCCATCATTTATTTCCAAAACCCCTTCACTACCTGGCACTGGGTGGGCACGGCCGTGGTCTTCCTGGGCACTCTGCTGTACACGGAGGTGTGGAGCAGCGTGCAGGCGGCTCTGCGTGGACCCGACGTCAAGGAGAAGAAGGCGGAGTGAAGAAGAAGGGACTGGTGGTCAAATAGAAAAACAGCAGCTATGTTGGACTTCAGCAATTTTATACAGTTGTTTCATTTTGTTTTCATACTTGAACACACATCAGACACACAACGGTTTAAAGGAGAGGGCTGGTGAGATTATATATTTTCATCATTGTAAATAAACCCAGGAAAAGACCAGAAATCAACAGTGTTAGTTTGTATCAAAATACTATTCGACCTCCCGACTGTCTCTGTGTAATTCAGGACAAAGGACTTTTGCTCCAGCTACCTGCTCAGCACCAAACAGCAGACAGACACAGTTAGCGACCAGCTGGTCAACATAGTGGAGCATTTAGCCGACAGAGCTGGTGGAGACCAAAAACAGAGCAAAAAGTACAGTGAAAATTGGACTTTATCAGGTTGCTCTATAAATGCTGTGTGTAAATAAACTGGTTGCAGTTTTACCATATGAACTTAAGATGATATGTCTAGAGCTGCGTAGATTAATAGATTAAAAGCAAATAAATTGGCATATTTTATCTGTAAATAGTTTTTAATTTTTTAAGCAAAATCCCAAACAGTTGATAGTTTCAGATTCTCAAAAAATGCTGCTTTTTGTTTTTGGTCTTCACAATATCGTTAATTGAATATTTGGGGGCTTTTGACTGTACAACAAAATGTTTGATGATGTGACCTTCTGCTCTAAGCTATTGCGATGGGCTTGTTTCACTGTTTTATGATCTTTCATTGACCAAAAGGTTATTGGATAATGAAAATAATTGTTAGTTGCAGCCTTACTGTAGATATGTTGATGTTGTGTTCACAGTCTGTTTCCACAGTTATTGCAGGTTTAAAAACAACTAATATCTAATTTTATTTTTTCAAAAGGTTAAATAATTTCCTAAAACAGTTGGGAACTGTAGTTTTTAGCCAACACTACAGGAATGGGGGGAGCTATTTTCAGCTGCAGATTAATACACTGTTGGTACACTGATCAGTATTTAAAGCAGCAGGACTGTGTTTTGTTTAGGCTTGACTGAAAAACATACATTGGGCTTTGATCAATTCATTGTTGGTTTCAGTCTTTAAATGGGAGTTGTTGATAATAAAAATATTGAAAGAAAATATAGAACATCACCATCCCTTATCTTTGCCATTAGTATATCACATCCATAGATGCAAACTGTTGCAACTTTTTTTTTGTCTAGAATGTTGTTCAAATATTTATTTTCTAAAGGTGACAGCTAGTTTACTCCATACTAGCATCGATGCTACCATTCATCCAGTAGGTTTACACTGAACACTTGCACTGTTGGGGATGATTTATGGACCATGTAGTAGCTGTAATTTATTTTCTCTTGTGTCAAATTGTCTCAGGTGTATTTCTCATCTGGAAACAGTAGGAACAAATCTTTACACTCCGCACCCGCTGAAATTAAAATGACAACCTGGCTACAAACATAGAGTATAAGAGTCTCTGTAGCCCTCAAATGATTTATCATAAAATGTGCTTTTTTTAAGATGGGACACAATGTTCCTTTAGGTTTCACTGACTTTAAAACGCGTCAACCAATCCAGAGAGGCGGTGTTAAGCTCCATCCAATAGCAGCTGCTGTTGTTGTTGGGAGGGGCAAATTGTTGCAGCTGCTGGGACATGATTTCACTGAGGACACTAATCCACGTTGTGGGATTAAATCACTTCAGTATCAAACACAGTCTTGGTAGTATCTGCGGCTACAGGTGTGGATGGGGGGGAACAGCCCGAGTCATTTCTCTCATGAAGATGATGAAGAAGGCAGAGGAGTTACTTTTGTCAAGGGCATTCGGGTGAGTTTGAACTGGGAGTGAAATATTTAAGGAAAATGTATTTAACGCACAGTCCCTGCAGAGTGCGCGAGGCTTAATCAAATTCTGTGATGTAGGCTAAATCAGAATTATTGATCTCGCCACCATGTCTGTTGTCACTCTCCAGCACTGGTGGGGTGTCGGTGTTAGGCTATATATAGAGAGAAAATGGTCGGTTGTCACATGGACTAAAACAAAAATTATTCTGCTTAAATAATTGATGATATTAATTATAAATGCAGTTTTTTAATTTCTTAAAACTAAAATCACTATAATTAAAGGAACTTTAAGTCTGTAAAACAACACTTTTAACCAGTGGTGGAAAGTGGTGAAAACTAAATACATTTACTCAAGTACTGTTCTTAAATATAATTTTGAGGTACTTGTACTTGACTATTTCCATTTCATGCTACTTTGTACTTTCTTCTACTCCACTACATTTCGTAAGGAAATATTTTACTCCAATAAATTTATCTGAGAGTTCTAGTTAAGCCTACTCATAAATTTGCATATTCTGATTATAATTATATCAATACAAAATATTAATCTTAGGATGTGTTATTATAGGTTAAGATACCCAGCAGTATATAAAATAATTCAAATTATTCAAAACTTTGATCAGATATAACTTAAATACTTCAAATATATAACCCTTTGGCTTCTTTTCATGTGTCCAAGAGCCTTGTTTTGTAAAATCAAATCAAAGAAGAGGGATATTTTGGATAATAGCCAAAAAGCTACGGTGGCTCCCAGGGCTCAGTGAGGAATATTTTTTTGAGGACTACTTTGCGTTACCTCGCAATATGTTTTGCATTCCCTCGCAATATGTTTTGCATTCCCTCTCAATACCTGTCTTCTTCCGTTAGCCTACTTCCGAGCCATATGCTCAGCTGCTCTCAGCGCAACACTCCAGCTTTTTGAATTTTACTTTTTTTATTGAACGGAGAATTTCCTATGTTGATATAGTAGCCTGCTACTGCTCAATAGGCATATTTATGTAGGCTTTAATCAAAAAGGACACACCGGAAAATTGAAGACTGTTAAGCCGACATCTTTACACAGACCTGCCCCATCGATGTCCTGGAGCATGCAGCGGGCACACCGTGTTCTGTCAGAGCGCAAGGCTCCGCCGAGATGAGAGGAAGCTAATGTTAAGTAGCCTACTTCTGATGCTGCTATTATTTAAATAGGTTAGAAATGGGCTATACAGGTGAACATACTTCAGATTTGGGGTTGCACTATTAGGCTACGCACTTTATAATGCTCCAGCCCTGCATGCCATTCTCACTCCCCTGACAGTATACAGATCAGCTGTCTGGTTTAGTGTCATACTGTAAATTACCCACTTATTTGTGCGGGCCTGACAAATAGTGAAAAGCTCATAAAATAACCTACTGAAGATGCATTAAAAATTACAAATGATTCAATAAATGCCATTCTTTCTTTTGGCTGGCCAGCATGTCTATTTTTTGTTTTGTGTCTTGTAAGTTGAATAGGCTATTGTGACTGTTTTTAGCACATTGGACCGCATGAAATGGCATTTCGTTATTATTCGGTATGTGGATCAAGACCTTGCAACTCACATTATGCAATACTGTCCACTCACTAGCCTATAGGCTACATGTTCATGCTGCTACGGCAAGGTATTGCGAGGTAACGCAAAAGTATTGTGAGGGAATGCAAAGTAGTCCTCAAAAAAATATTCCTCACTGAGCCCTGGGAGCCACCGTAGAAAGCTAAGGATCTGTCAAGCAAACTGCAGGATCGCTATGCAGAATGCTTTGTCTTTTGTTGGCTTTAAAAAAAATAATCTTTTTTTTCTTTATTTCTCAATTTCTTGTGAACATGTTTAACTAGTTGTTGTGGATTCCAATAAATGTGCTACTGCACTGCATCTCTGGAATAATATAATATAGTGTAGTATAATTGTTAGCGGTGTTGAAAGAAGTAAGTAGTCTTTACTTAAGTAAAAGTACTAAACCCACTCTGTGAAAATACTCCATTACTGGGAATTGTCCTGCATTCGTAACCTTACTTAGGTAAAAGTATGTATTATCAGCAAAAAGTACTTAAAGTATCAAAAGTTAAATTCCCCTTAATGCAATAAAATGGTCCCTGTCAGTGCTTTACTATGATATATTATGTTTTTGGATTAATCTTACTGATGCATTAATGTGTTTCCATTTTACTGCTGTAGATGTTTATGATAGTGCTAATTATAACTAACTTATATACTCTTGGGTAGTTTAATCTACAGCAATGCATCATATTCTCAGTTTGTAGTGTCACTGTGCTGTGAGAACCACATATCTCTAAAAAGTCAACTTTTCATGAGGTCAGAAACTGCCCTGTTTTCAGTTTTTTTTGATGATGCATTTTCCAGCTGAGCGGGGGTTTAAATAGTTTAAGCTTAGGATTTTCTGAACACTAAATCTCTAAGTTTATTCGAAAAAGTTTTATTCAAAATCACAAAATTTGAAGCTACATGATTTTCACTGGATAGGAAGTAATCGGTAATTGTAATCTTAAAAGTAACTTGTAACTAAAGTACAATATTCACATCAAGAGATGTAGTGTAGTAGAAACTGAAACAGGACAGAAACAAAGCTGCATTTAATAAGTATTTCTGTTGCTTCTCTTCTTTTGTCAGCTTTCGGAAAAGTCATCAACCGGATGAAACCGCCTTCAAAGGTCGTCGGCCCTCGGCTCTCACAGAATGAAAGTCCTCCTCCACCTGAAACACAAACACCCACTCCAGTTCCCGCCCCCTCTGTCAAACACTTAATACCTCTTCTGACACCGCCTCCTCCATTTATCCCCCCTCCACCTCGTCCTCAGGAAGCCCCATCCACGCCTCTGTCAGTGGAACCTGCTCCTCCTGTAAAACTCATCCCTCCTCATCCTGTGAAGTTTCAGTCATTTCCTCCTACCGCTGTAGAGCCTGCAGCCCGCCTCCACCTGTAGAGCCCAAAACTCCACATGTAACTGAGCCTGTTGTCTCAGCCCCTCCTCCACCCCCTCCTCAAGAAGCCCCATCCATGCCTTCTGTAAAGTTTCACTCCCTTCCTCCTACGTCTTTGGAGCCCGCAGCGCCACCAAAAACTCCACCTGTCACCAACCCTGTTTTTTCAGCCTCTCCTCAACCTCCAGCTGTACCTACTCCTCAAGTAGAAGCACCTGTACAGCCTGAATGTGCTCCTCCTCCAACACCTGCTGTAGTAGAGCCAGTAGTCTTACCTCCTGTTGAATCCTTGATCCAACTTCATGTGGAGCCAAAAAGCCCATCTACACCCCCAGAAGCTGACCACATCATCAACCCTATTATTCTACCTCCACCTGTGGAGTCCTCCACAGCAGCTGTAGCTCCACCTGAACCTCTAGCTTTATCTCTGTCCTCTGAACCAACTCCTGCAACTACAATTGAACCTGCTGCTGTAGCTCCCTCTGTTGAACCTCTTGAATCCCTTGTCCTGTCGACGCCACCAGTGGAAACGGTCCAGCCTCCGCCCACTGTTGAATCTACACCAGTAGAAGCAATAATCCCACCCTGTCCTGTTGATTTAGCTCCAGTTGATGCTGTAGTTTTGTCTCCGCAAGTGGAGCCCACTCTTGTGGAACCTGTAGTCCCATCAGCTGCAGTTGAAGAAGTGCCTCCACTCATGGCTCCAGCTGACGACACACTGCCTCCATGTGAACTGGCTCCACCTCCACCTTCTCCAGAGCCTGTCGCAGCACCCTCTGCTGTTCCAGAGTTCATCTTTGAAGAGCCCTCCCCACCCTGTCACTGTGTGGAGGTGGCAGTCGTGCCCGCTGATGCACCTGTAAGTGAACCTCTCATAGACCCTCTAGCACCACCTCCACTTGATTCAGCTCCACCTGCTGAGGAGCCCACTATCACCCTGTCTCTGCCGCCTGTTGAGGATGAAGTGCCTGTTGTCGCCTCTGTGCCAACACCTGCAGCAGGTGAGCCAAACATCACAGGGTGGATGTTCATGATTGTAGCAACTGTTTGAAATCAATCAACTCAACTTCTTTTTCTTTTCTTTGTTCCATTCACAAACTGAATGTGTTTACATGCAGCTTTGCCCATTTCTTCTGAAGTGTTGGAGGAAGAGATGAGGCAGAAGATCAAAGAGGAGATGCAGAGAAGTCTGGAGGAGGAGATCAGCCAGAAGAGGCACGAGCTGCAGCGACAGTAAGAATTAAAATTACTGTTAAGTTATACTGTGTTTCTGTCATTTGGGTCCTGACTTTGACTGATAAGATAAAATAAAGATGAACCGTAGATATTATGTCAACCTGAAGTAAATTTTTGTGTAAATTGAATATCTTTTTGGTTTTATTTGAACAAAACAAGGAATTTAAAGACGTAAGCTTCTTGAAAAGTTAATTTTCTTACATTTATATAGACGAAACAAATTTTCTATTTAGAAAATAATAAGCAGATTAACTGATAATGAAAATTGTTAGTTGCAGCCCTAATACATGTTACACTAAATGTATATGAATGTCGGTAGCGTAACATAATTGTGATTGTCCCCAGTGGAAATATTTTTCTTGTGGCCCTCGCCCCAAAAAGCATTTTTGTGTATACACGGGCGTACGGATGCACAGCGACTCCACACAATCGCAAACCTTCAGCACCACAGACGGCAGCTAAAATGCAAATCTTATGGGCTGCCCTTGACTCAAACCTGCTGTCTCCGACCATCAAATAACAAGCACAGCAACTCCGTATATGAATGGGTGACAGCATCTGATCACAATCCAGGTGGCAATTATTCCTGTGTCTGCACTTATGCCACTGATGAATATAGTAAAATAGAAATTAGAAAAACTATGAGGCACAACATACAAGTGTGGGTGCACCACATGAATGAAAGGGCAGGTTATTGTGGCACCATGGTCCCGGCGAAATGCTGTCTTACTTCAACGTGTACTGTGTATATGGCTGAAATGGCAATGAAAGCCTACTTAGTTAGTTACTTATCAGATGCTATATTTCAAATGACAAGCAATGAATTAACAGAAAGAAAGTGTCAACTGCCGGAGGTGTAAGGCTGCAGCTTAATACTCCTTTCAGTTAACTGTCAAATACTGTTGTCGGCCGATTGATTTGAATTGTTTTGTGTATAAAATATTAGAAAATAGTGAAAAATGTTAATTTAGTCACTTAAGTTTCCAAATCCCATGGTGAAATCTTAAATGTCTTTTGTCCAACAGACAGTTCAAAACCTAAAGATATTCAGTTTACAGACAAACTAAAGCAGGAAATCTTCGTGTTTCAAGAAGCTGGAACCAGCTGATTATTGGCAATTTTGCCCGAAAAATTTGTTTTGCATCACACTGCAAGAAGAAAATGTAATAAAATGTGATCTGTGTGTGCACGTGTGAAGGCTGGACGAGATGAGGGCTCAGGCTCAAGCAGAGGCAAAAGCAGCAGCTGAGGCTCAGGTGGAGGAGCAGGTGAAGAAGACGCTGGAGCTGGAGAAGGCGGCGTACATGGAGAACCTGACAGACGCCATCACAAAAGAGCGAATGAAGACAGAAGATGAGAGGCTCATGGTGCAGCTTTATGTAAGCACAAAGAAAACATGCCTGATCTATGTGTGCCATGATCACTCTTGTAAATATGTAGTTCTTTCCTTCCCTTAATATCTGTTTCTTTCTTGCCCTCTTGTCTTATTTCAGTGGATGGAGATGAAGGTAAGATGGGGGAGAATTTATACATGCATGACTCACTTTTTCCACTTTCGTTCTGCTATAATCTCACTTTAAAAAGCTGCCACACAGCTGTGTTTTTTCCCGTGTGGAAATTTGGTATCGTCGTCTACAAAATATGAAATGATTAAAATGTAGTACTTGCATGCGTGTACTGGTTTTAGAGGTGTGATAATGCCATTTTAAACCCACACAGGCTCATCAACTGGAGGAGAGGGAGAACCATTTGAAGAAGCTAAACACTCTGTACAAGGAACATGTCGCAAAACTTGAATCAAAGGTGAGCAACAGTTTGAGTATTTCTCATCCTGACAGCTCCCTCTCTGGACTCTTTCAAAAACCTTCTAAAAACCCACCTCTTTACAAAGGCATTTAACCCTAAATGACTTTTATTGTTCTGTCTCTGCAATTATGTGTAAAGCGCCCTTGGGTCTCGTGAAAGGCACTATATAATAATTTATTATATATATTATTATCTCCTCCATAACATTAAATATTTATGACTCAAGCAATGCTCGGTTAAAGTTTCGGTGTTTATTAGTTTATTAGCTGTTACCGATATTTTTATACTAGCAATGTATCAAATGACAATTTGAAAGGGGTCGCTCATAGTGAGGAACCTACAAAGAATTATCAGCTGAATCTGCAGCTCCCCTTGGCTTTAAAGAACTGTATAGTTTCAAGTCTTTGTTTATCTGTCCAGCCCACAACTTTACTGTTTTGGATCACTCTCGCTGATCCCATAGTGTTGCCTTCAGTGGAAAAAGCTCTAAAATCCACAGGCACAACCTGCTCAGCACCAAACTGCAGACAGACACAGTTAGCGACTAACTGGTGAACACAGTGGAGCAGCTGAAGAGCCACATATTTCCCTTAGGAGTTGATAAGAGACTAATAAAGGAGCTAAAAGAGTGAATATGAGACTTAAATTCATCAAGCGATCAGACTCCAAAAAATGTTGCCCTGTAACAGCTGGATTTGTAAATAAGCAACTCTTTAACACAGCTAACACTTTGTCATATCAACTTCAAAGGTGATGTCAATGTTCACAACTTGTTTCTGCTGCCTCCCAGTGGCCCAAAAAATCTGTTATTGCAGGTTTAAAGTGAGAATGTGTAAACTTTAGTCTGTCGTGTTTTAAACTTGTGTAAACACTATATAATAGTGACAATATCATTAACAGTAGTGGCAGTAAGTGAGAATTAAAGGATAATGGTAAATGCGTAAACATAATGTAGTAATAGCACAGGTAGAGAAGAGTCATAAAGTTTGGTAACATTAGCTACCGTAAGATACTGGTGATATCAGACTAAGACTAAGACAGATTATTTTGTGTTTGTGTAGAGCCCCATCGCTCTTAGTAAGAAGGTGATTGGGAAAATGTGTTTTCAGGGCCTTAAAGTAATGTTTTTGATCAGTAAGGGGCAGTGCAACTCAACAATTGGATTATACAATTTTTCACAGACAAATATCAGCTTTGTGCAAGTAACTTCCCTCAGTATTTGTTTACAAATGACAGTTTGATTGTATGATGCAGCTGTGATATTTGACCTTAGTGGTAACGTGGTATTTTTACCACTTTTGACAGTGTAACGAGTTTTACAAAGTGACCGCTGAGAGCTTCCAGAAGGGCAAAGAGGAGACTCATAACCGTTTTGCGTAAGTTCAGAATCACTGCGTTTGTATAAATGCAATAATTATCTGCAAATCAATAATCAACTCCTAATGATAAATAATCATTTTTACAGTTCATGGGGTTAGATTAGTACGGTTACAATTTGGACTGACATACGGTACAAGGACAAAATAACTTGAATTAGTTTGAATACATTTGTTGGTATTAACTACCAAACCAACATGATGTTTTGATATTTGCATCTGTGTTTTCTCTCTCTCTCGCTCTCAGGCGCTTTGATATCCAGCCAGTGTGTGGTGACTTGCAGAATCAGATTTTAAAATGCTATAAGGCAAACACAGGAAAGACTCTGTCCTGCTCGAGTATCGCCTCGGCCTACATGCAGTGTGTGGACAACGCCAAGAAAGTACGGCTTGATATATAAAATGATTTTTTTTTTCTTTCTTCTTTAACCTCTCCCACTGTCCCTCTTTACTATCCCGTTGTTGTTGAAATTCTTGGAGCAGTTTATTTTTTTTTTTCAGAATAAGATCCTTAGGATGTCTTACAAAGCAGTGTTTATTGAAGCCTAGCCGGGTGTCTGGCAGACAGAGTGAGAACATAATGCAGTGACTACCAAATCTCATGAATACCACTTGGTCCACAATATTTATCTCTCTGCTGTCCCATAGTGTCTATGGCCTTTCCCTACAAGGTCATTTTTACTGGCCTAAATCTGAACAGCCAATCTGCAGGAAACATTACCTAAGTCACGTTGAGATCAGGAGGTCACATGTATTGCATTGTAAGAGGACACAGTGAGTCTGTACATGCGAGATGGGAGAAACCACCGTTATCTGCTAGCCTTGAGCCTGAACTACAGTGTCTCCCTATCAGCCCAGCTGTCGTCACCCTGACAGGGAGAGGGACAGAGGCAAATAGCTATGTCTAAGGAGTCTACTTCTAGGCCTACAAGTGACCCCGAGTGTGACCTGTATATGACCTGTTCCTCTCCTGTTACCCACAAGTAAAATTTCCTCACACCCATCACTCAGAGTTGGTAGCATTTTAACCCATTTCTACCCTGCGTCTACAGAATAAATTCAGCACTGGAGGTTAATGCGGACCGCTTGGTGAGGACGACAACGACACCTGAAAGCAAAGACAACTTGATGGACAGAAATCAGCAAACAAGACGAGTTACAGGAAAGGCAGGAGAAACAACTCCAGCTTTTACGTGCATCCGGAAGAAGTGCCAGATATCAGTCAGACTTGTCAGGTCAGTAGACAGGTCTGGCACTGGTGTCACAAACATTAGCAGCAGCTGGGTATTTAGCTTGGAAGCCATGTTTGCTACCTCTCTGGTTCTTGGGATCGTCTTAAAACCAATTGTGCCGCAACAGTAACCGATGAATGACATAATTTTTAAATGTTCATGTTTGTAAATGAGGCAAAACACAACAATCAGAGGAGCAGTTTGTGTGTGTGTGTGTGAGAGAGAGAGAGAGAGAGAGAGAGAGAATGACATCCTGCAAAATCAATGTTTGTGTGCCTTGACATCTATGAAGGTTAATTATCAGATTGCAGATGCATGGAAGAATTGTTTAAGGAGCAGAGTGTGACATAACAAAGACCAGTACGTGTTTTTGGTTATTGGATTGTACATACATTATTTCAGGGGTTATTTCTAAAGCATGTAAAAATAAATAAGTCTCAAATTTTGTTGTGACACTTTTTGTAGAAAGTGTTGGCAGGTGGTTGCTGCCATCTTGATGTAAATTAGGAGCACAACTGTGGAGGTCTAATCCATATGCCATTAAAATATAATTTAACCACATGAGATCACAAGATCTCCAGTATTTTCTTCTGCTGTTTAGTGCAATCAAATCCCAGTTTAGATGCAGAGAGATCATGAGCAAATATGGACTCTATGATATCAAGAATGACGAAATTATGTACAACCAAAAGAAACTACATTAATTCTTTAATGTGGCCCATGTTTTTGTTTGTGACAATTAATGACAAATGAAGAGCTATATTGAAGAAAAAGCCCAGTGGCAGAGAAAAAACAATACGGGGAAAGCTTTAACAGAAACATCTTTGTCATTTAGTAACCTTTCACCTTTTTATGGTGCAGCACAGCTGAGATTTATACATTAATTCGTATTAACTGTCCAATAACATAATAACCAGTGGTAAAAGAAGTACTCAGATCTAGGCAAATAAAAGTAGCAATACCACATGTTAAACCCAAATACAGTTATCAAAATAAACTAAATTAAAGTACTCATTAGGCAGAATGGCCCACATCAGAATATTGTATATTATATCACTGGATTATAATTATTGATGCACAAATGTGTACGTAACTTTAATGTTGGAGCTGGTAAATGTGGTCGATCCTGTATAAATAATACTGGGAGGTAGAGTGATGCACTGTGCAGGACTCATACTGAGTAGAAGATTTTATGAGAGGATTTTGAACACGTCTTCATGTCATTGAAGTTCTGAGGAAATCCTCCATGGATTCCCCTCATCGCCCACCAACCCATGGATGAGATTGGCTTACTCAGCCTCTTGACAACTGAAGATTAAAAGCCCTGTCTGCAGTTCAGTGTCACCAACACAAAGATTTATTTCAAATGATCAATCTTATGAATTTAAGAATAACAAATCATGAGATTTCTTACAGCTTGAATTCTCTCCTGAATTTTAGAAATTTCCAAAGGTCTCTTAAGTCCCAGATGGTTGCAACACAGACCTGACAGTACCAAATATCATTAGTCATGATAATAATAGCAGTGGTGGCCTACTATTTACATTTTATTTTATATCTGCCAAGAGGTTGCAAAACTGTTCCTGTTTTAACAACAGGAACAAAGCTTGCATCTTTAATGTCTGCCCTTGTCAATTTGGTGTTATTAGTATATGATTTCCTGATGTGTCTCATCCATCAACAGCAGAATTTCCTTAACATTGATATATGACATGCTATATGTATAGACATACATATGCTGTACTGTGCATAAGTACTGTTTTGAAGGCAAAGGGGGATCACACCAAATATTAATTTGATTTAGATGTTTCTTCTGTTCACCCACTTTGTCTTGTGTTAACTGATAAATATTAACATGTACTTGACAGCATTTTTCCACACCTGCCTAAAATGTTTGCACAGTACTGTAAACATGAGTAACATGTAAAAATTCTATCAAAGAATGAACAGTAAGGCAGATGTAGGGCATATCTTTATTGTTTTCCCAATTCCATGCTACACACTAAATCTAAGCAGGTTTTGAGTATATAGTGTACATTGGAAAAAGGAAGTATATGCTTAATTTTTAAATGCGCTGTTGATTATTGTCCCACAATGCAATGCACAAAGGAAAAGAAGTAACTCCTCCCTGCTAGCTGGTTTGTTTCAACGGACCTATAAAACAGGTAAGTGTGTTGATTTCTTTTTATACTAACTACAAAATACATACAATTAGTATGTACAGGAGTATGGAATTGGGACACACTGCTCGATTGGCTCTTCCTGTTCTGAACATACATGTGATTGATCACTTGAGACTTGCGTGACAATGTGTGTCACAAAGTTCAACACCATTAAACCGGACACTCTGATAACGTCACCAGTAGAGGGCCCTCCACCTGCAGCTACAGGCTCCCAGTTAGTCATTAATTCAATTTCTCGGACAGCTGCTTGAGTTCAGTGTATGTCTATTTTACAGGCAAATGCAATGTCATAGCACATGTCAACAAGGCAATTGAGTGCTTTACATAAAACCTAAACACGGGGGATAATAAAAATCCATTTAAATACAGAGTTACATAGAAAACAAAACCAGACAGGACAGTGCAGTGCAGCATAAGATAATAATCAAAACCCTCATTTAAAAGAACTGAAAGTTTCAGCAGACTTTTGTGGAAGTTTGCTCCAGATATATGGTGCATAAAAACTGAAGTACCCATCACAATATTTGCTGCTGAAATGTAGCGAAGCAGAAGTTTAGAACAGCATAAAACGGAAATACTTGCAAGTAAAAACAAGTTCTTCAAAACTGTGCTTATGTACAGTACTTTTTAATTCTGTTTAATTACATTTCAACACTAGTCATTATCCAATCTTTGTGTCTTTCTGCTCCTAACTTCGGTAAAACCACATTGCAGACTTGCGTGTCTGTTAACATGTGAGTGTCTCATCTAATTTTAGGTACACCATGTCTTGTTCGATATGAAGAGGAAGTGAGTGTTTGCATGTGTGTGGTTGTGTGTGACTGCAGACATATACAGAGATGACGGGTAAAAACTCAAATTTAATCTTTTGCATGTAAATTCCCAAAATTGGAGGATTTCATGCTCTTTATTTAAGTTGAGGAAATTCTTGAGGCGTGGAAACTTCCTGAATAAATTGAGTTTTGGATGGCGGTCAAGTTAAAAACAAGGCCAGTTCTGTAAGTTCGTACATTTTTTGACAATTTGGAGGTAGAGTTTCTATGATGCAACTACAAGAACATTTTGTTTCTATTTTCAGTCTTACGGCATTAAGTTGACTAGCTCTGTTGCGTTGACCTCATATGGTAGTTTGTCAAAGCTTTAATTTTTGATGCCTTCAAAAATGACTTCTACAAACAGCGATGCCTTGAGACAGACATAAAAATGTTTGTTTTACTTTTGCATTTTAGAGCATCAGCTTTTTCATCCACTCACTATACAAGAAAGGCCAGGAAAGTAAAACAGAAGTGAAGCTGTGGTCTGCAAACCAGACCTGACGTCATGATCTCTCATTAGCCACAGAAGAAGCAGCAGCCAAACTCCACAATGTTTATCTATGGGTTTTTGTGTTTATGCACATGAGTGGCATGTGTTAAACATTACGTAATTGCATTACACCCATTCCTTTTGGGAATAGCACTTCTCTATATGTATCAAATATATAATCCAAAAAAATACAAACATGGAAGAGTGTCCTTTGTGAACAATGATTTCACTGATTCCCCAAATTTGGTTTGGTTTTTGAGTGACTGGTTGATTGTTTCACTTCTTGTATATGCAAACATGACCAGATTAGAACAGTTTTAAACCAGAGGGTAAGACAAATTCACAGGCAAAGTTAAGCTGCTCTGATATTAATCAATATACTGTAGGCCTACATCAATATTTTTGTGTCTCTAGGGATGGCAATGTCCATCTGTTGGTCCACCACATTAGTCCATACCAAAATATCTCAACTATTGGATGGATTGCCATACAATTTTGCACAGACATTCGTGGTCTCCACATGATGAATGCTACTGACTTTGGTGATTCCCCACACTTTGTGTTAGCATTACGCCCCATTATCTGGTCAAATGTTTAGTTTGGTTTACCAAATACCTGCAAAACTAATGACATTCCCATCAGCCTCTACTACACTTTGTGTTTAGTGCTAATTTGCAAATGTTAGCTTGCTAAGATGGTAAACATGCCTGCTAAACATCAGCATGTTAGCAATGCTGACATTAGTATGTAGAGGAGGGGCTTTGCGTTTCAAAACTTCGGAGGGCGTTTTAGTGAAGACGGGCCAAGGACTTTAGAAACGATGACGCAGCCGCTCACGCTCGGCTCTCTGATTGGGTCTTGCAAAGCAGAAACAAGATGCTGCATCATATTTTTATTAAAATATTCTGTACCGTGCAAGTAACACTCATCTGCCTACACTTGTACTGTGCATGTCGCTGTTTACTTTGCAACAACTCCCAGTCTGTTTTCTGCCGCCACATTCTCGTGTTACATTCAGTAACAGTCCCAGCTCGTTATTGATCCATGCAACAATAAAACTGGTCTGATGCTTAGTCTGTATTTATTTATTCTTTAGCCAAATCTTCTGTAACTACGGAATAGACCATCTGCTTTGTGTTTACACTGGCACGCGCATGCCCTGAATGGGTCCTAGCTGTGTGTTTTCAGTCGTTTTAATGTAGACAACCCTGCTGTGGAAGGAGATTGTATTCATTTGTAAACTAAAATGGAGTAGTGTGGATGGGGCCTAAGTAGGTCCTCACAGAGCCACCAGCATGGCCACTCTTGTTATATTAACAATGGATGAAATTAGTAGGCCTGTGTATATATACACTGCTCAAAAAAAATAAAGGGAACACTTAAACAACACAATGTATCTCCATGTCAATCACACTCCTGTGAAATCAAACTGTCCACTTAGGAAGCAACACCGATTGACAATCAATTTCACATGCTGTTGTGCAAATGGAACAACAGGTGGAAATTATAGGCAATTAGCAAGACACCCCCAATAAAGGAGTGGTTCTGCAGGTGCTGACCACAGACCACTTTTCAGTTCCTATTCTTCCTGGCTGATGTTTTGGTCACTTTTTAATGCTGGTGGTGCTTTCACTCTAGTGGTAGCATGAGACGGAGTCTACAACCCACACAAGTGGCTCAGGTAGTGCAGCTCATCCAGGATGGCACATCAATGCGAGCTCTGGCAAGAAGGTTTGCTGCGTAGTGTCCAGAGCATGGAGGCGCTACCATGAGACAGGCCAGTACATCAGGAGAATTGGAGGAGGCCGTAGGAGGGCAACAACCCAGCAGCAGGACCGCTACCTCCGCCTTTGTGCAAGGAGGAGCAGTAGGAGCACTGCCAGAGCCCTGCAAAATGACCTCCAGCAGGCCACAAATGTGCATGTGTCTGCTCAAACGGTCAGAAACAGACTCCATGAGGGTGGTATGAGGGCCCGATGTCCACAGGTGGGGGTTGTGCTTACAGCCCAACACCGTGCAGGACGTTTGGCATTTGCTAGAGAACACCAAGATTGGCAAATTCACCACTGGCGCCCT